GTCACATCCAGGATTATTTCACTTATACGGTAATGTGCATGTGTGCATGTTGCTGCTTGTAACTAGCTCAACTAATGCCAGTTTAATACTGCTAGCCCACTGAGAATCCATGCTGAAGTTTAAACCCAAATCAGACAAAGTTTACTGACTCTGAGCCTTTAACCTTGTTCTATCCCCATAAAGCCAAGCACCAGGAAGAGTAACAACAAGTACCATCTGTTAACGCCTTTTGGTACGACTCTGCCAGAGACAAAACCACTGATGTTCTGCTCTCTGGGTAGATAGTAACTTCAAAACAGAACAAGAGCCTAAGAGTTAGGTTATGCTCAACACTTGGGTCATATAATCAAGCCAACATTTTATGTATTTGGTCATTATTGAAACTGACCTCTAGAAGGCCTCTTTTCCAACAGATTAAACTATGAAATCTATAGAAGTAAACCTTGTAGTATCTGCAGTCTGTATCAATGGTCATCTGAATCAGGAGTCTTGAGAGAAAGGCCAAAAAATTATTTTTCAAGTTCCAGTCAAGATTCCATTTAGTTGAGCCCCGGTGGCCCAGTGACCCTTGACCCTGCAATTTTCTGTGCAGAGTAGCATCCCATGCACATCCAGAAACCTGTGAAGGTAGAGTGGAACCCAGGGTCACCCTGATTATGTTTCTAGGGTGTGAGCACCATGCCCGTGTTTTGGGTTTCAGCAAATTGGTAAACGCCTATGCACTGGTTCACGTTTGGTTTTCTCCCACAGAAGCGGGCAAACCATGATATAACTGACCTAGTGTTCAAAGCAGCTTCAAATACCAACTCACTAATATCAAGAACATCAATTTATTTCAAGTGGAAGAAGCACATCCATGCAGTCATGAAATGTGATTTTCATACGGTGTTTTGAAACACTGTTAAATCTAAATAAACCAAAGACAAAAAAAATACTTTTAAGGGTGCTTCAATCAATACTATACAGGGTTTGAAGCTGAGTTTGTAAAGCTAATCACAGGAGGTGGTCAGAAACCAATTTCCTTAAAAGCTATATCGTGAGTACACAGGTCTTGATGTTCCAGACAGAAATATATGTTCGAACTAAAATGTTTGTTTCGTTTAATTGTTTTTGTGAACTAGAAATACCTGAGGTTTTGCCAGACTTTCGTGATGTTCATCAGTGATAGCTTTCTGAGGATGCAGTCTTGTCTCTTGGCATGGTTCGGTATCAGACTGCTCGCTCCATTTCCCAGTACAGAGCTGCATCCAAGCAGCAAAGTACTGGATAACATTCTAACTCTTGCATATATTCAAAAACACTATGGATACAAAAAAATGATAAAATGATCTATTTTATCAACTCAACTAGAAAATGTGACCTATTAGCTCTGAGATATTGTAGATTAAATTATTTTTGTGATCAACACAGTGAATGTTACAGAGAAAATAGATGACACCACGGAACCTGGGGTCAGGGTGTCCAAAGCATTATAATGTGTCTTGTTCTGACGATTTCTGTGGCAACAAACAGCAACATACATTAGTTTGTCACTAATTGATAAACTGCCTGTTGTTACCCACAATCCTTGTGTTTGCTTGTTTGTTTGTTCGTTAGTTAACGCAGCACTCAGTAATATTCCAGCCTTATGACGGAGGTCTTTAAATACTGGACCAGACAATCCAGCGATTGACATCATGAGCACCAAAACACATAATTGGGATACGATGACTAGCATGAACCAAGTCGGTGAGCCTGACCACCCGATCTTGTTAGCCGCCTTTTACATCAAGCATGTGTTGCTCAAGCACTATTCTTACCTCTACCAGACGAACAGGACAAGTCTATCAACAATACCGAAGGTTAGTTTCCGATTCCTTAAACCACATTCCCAAATGAAAGAATGGCCGGAGATCGATGTGAGTTTGAATTTTTAATGAAATGCTTGTTTTAGACAAGATCATCTGTGAGGCCTTCAGAAGTCCAGCAAGTGGCTTCTCGAATCTGCGTCATCTTCAGTTAACCGAGTTCATGGCCTTCACACAGAGGCGGCAGGGCACATATGGGAATATCCAGTTTCCAGAGACGACAACTGTTTATTAATATACAATATTATGTCTCTCATTTATCTCTCCTGAGGGAAACTTGTAGCTAAAGGCATGTCAAACTTAAAGGTTGTAACTGGAGCGGCTACAATTGCTCTAAAATATTTAACATTGAACTTGATTTATTACCATCATGAACATTGTCGTATCTTACTCTAGATTTACATCATGTGGAGAGCACTGACATGAAGTTTGATGGTGGTTGGAAAGTGGATACTTGAATTACGTTTTTCATCTTACATTATTGGATATCTGCAAGTACCGTCTTGCAGTCTGACATCGCAGTGTGTCGTTGCCTTTTACGTCCTGGTTCGGCTTATCTACGGGTCATATCATGTTCTTTCATATTTCAAGGGTCAAGTTAATACCTCGGCTTATCTACAGGGTCTGCCTATCTGCGGTCATATATGGTAGGCATATGCACTAAGAATATACATGCATGAACAATTATACAAAAATATTGATTGATAATTTAATTTTTTTTTTAGTATAACATTGTGCTCTATTAGTTGTCTTTTGGGGTGAATATAATTATTGAAATACTTGTGTGGGATTCAAAATTATCATGATAGAATATGGCATGATCAATAGCTAAGGTCTGGTGAACTTCAAACTGAGCCCTATTTACTATAATTATCTGATCATTGTCCGAGTAAATTAGATTCAGTCATGAAATGAATTATCTCATTGAGGTTTACCTTAATGTAGATCACATTTATATAATTTGCAATAAATCTATTAGGAAAAAAGAGTGCCAAAAAAATGCCTTTCAATTTGTATTTCTTTGTTTGATAAATACAATTTACATCTATTCAAAATTTTATTTTGCAACAGAAGTCATGGTAATTGACAACAAATAGCAACACACAGCTGCCAACCATCTTACTACCTTTTTATAATCCATCCATATCACAAATACTAAAATTGATTTAACTGATTTCCATGTATTTAATTTAAACATAACAAGACTTGTACTTAAACATAATATGTCTGTATCTGCTCCTTTCATGACAGCTTGTACATGTTATATCCTCTCAGTCATACTTCTACTAAATACTTGCTTTCAGAATTTGCAATTTACTTTCCATGCCGCAATGTGTCTGAAATAAGACCTTTATATTTTTTCCCATCACAAAACCTGTGTATTGCGATGCATGGCCTGACCAATAGTGGTGAGTGAGTGAGTTGGGTTAAACACCCCTTTTTAACAGTATTCCAGTTATATCAGTGCGTGTCAGCTTAATGTGGGAGGAAAGCCCAAAGTGATGCAGGTCTCAGACGTTAACCACTTCGGTGAAATCCACGAGCACGAGTATGGTGCTGACAAACCTAGGTGAGGTGAGGTGAAATGGGGTTTAACGTCGCGTCCAAGATTATTGCACTTATATAGCGACATGCATGTACATGTGTGTTTGTATGGCTGCTTGTACTAGCCCGGACTGATGCCGATTTATAGTGCTAGCTCACTGAGATACCATGCCGCAGTTTAACATGAATACCCCACTCAGACACAGTATACTCCGAGCCAACCAGTCCTTGTTTTAGCCCCTTAATGCCGAGCGCCAGACAGGGTAACAACAAGTACCATCTTTTAATGTCTTTTGGTATGACGCAGCCAGGGATCGAACCCTGGACCTTCCGCTTTCCAGGCGGACACTCTACTACTAGACCACGGAGGCGATCTGACAAACCTAGAAACACAATGGGGGCAAACCAGGATTCGAACCCACAATCATAGGATTCTGGTGGGCACCAGAGATGCAACTCTGCACAGCCAATCGCAACGCTTTAGACGACTGGGCCACAGATGCCCCCGTCGTGACCAATAAGACCTTTATATTTTGGTATATCTAAATTTACAATTAATATCTAATTAATGTTTAATTTTTTTACGTCAAACTTCAAGTATACAAGTATTGAACACTCAACTACTGATTGCAAAGGATCAACAAGGTGACATGGAATGAACGATCGATCACGACCACATCATATCTTCCATCCGACAACCGATATATTTTTGTTTTGTCACAAAGGCATACAGTACATATACCAGTGTCAAAGTTACCAATAAAGGTGCAGGCTAGTCTAAAGTGTTACACATGCCTTTCGTTTGGTGCATAAAAAACACTCACTCATCCCATCTTTGCAAAATCAACATATTCCTCATCAATTAGTTGTAGATCCTACAATGGACGGAAGTGTACGGCGGGCAGAGTTTATGTGATTATGTCCCACAATCAACATTATTTCTATAGTGACTACCATGTGGACCTCCATCCCCAAATGTCAAAATGACACAATCCCTCAAAATAACATACTTTGTAGATAGATATGTTAAAGTTCATGCAAAGTTCATGCAAAGTTGTTAAAAAGGTAGTTCATTTCTGTGTTTTCAAAAATTGTGTATGCACAGAAACCATTCTAAACATTCAAGTCTTGGCAAGCAACTCAACACGCTATCACATGGTGAGCTGCTGAACATCCAATCAACTGAGAGGAACTGTTCCCCAGCATGGCCCCTATGTATAACAATGCCCCCTGCCAGGGACTACATAACAGTTCAGATAAAACAAGAATGAGTTCATAAAGATAACAAACTTAACACAAGCTGCTACAGTAAAGTATCCTTGTTTTTGTTTTCATGCTACAAGTGTGTGCATGAGGAAAGCTTCTTACAGAGAGAATTATGGTGCTTTCTTGTGTTCCAATATCGATGTCAGTTCCGCAAGGTGGGATCTTAAGCCGACTCTGTGGTCACCAGAATCTTGGATAAAGACGCTCCTAAAATGTCTCCAAGCCAAGAAATACAACACTCACTAATTATGAAGGCAACTTTGACATAAAACTGTTATGCCGCTGGCTTGAGTTTAAGTCAATTCTGACTTGAGGTTGACTGTGAGGACAGACAAGGGCCACCTAATGAAAGCCCTTTGGGGGTGGAGCTTGTTTGTTGTATTCCTTGCCAGCCCGTGGAGGTGGAGCTTGTTTGTTGTATTCCTTGCCAGCCCGTGGAGGTGGAGCTTGTTTGTTGTATTCCTTGCCAGCCCGTGGAGGTGGAGCTTGTTTGTTGTATTCCTTGCCAGCCCGTGGAGGTGGAGCTTGTTTGTTGTATTCCTTGCCAGCCCGTGGAGGTGGAGCTTGTTTGTTGTATTCCTTGCCAGCCCGAGGAGGTGGAGCTTGTTTGTTGTATTCCTTGCCAGCCCGTGGAGGTGGAGCTTGTTTGTTGTATTCCTTGCCAGCCCGTGGAGGTGGAGCTTGTTTGTTGTATTCCTTGCCAGCCCGTGGAGGTGGAGCTTGTTTGTTGTATTCCTTGCCAGCCCGTGGAGGTACAGCTTGTTTGTTGTATTCCTTGCCAGCCCGTGGAGGTGGAGCTTGTTTGTTGTATTCCTTGCCAGCCCGTGGAGGTGGAGCTTGTTTGTTGTATTCCTTGCCAGCCCGTGGAGGTGGAGCTTGTTTGTTGTATTCCGTGCCAGCCCGTGGAGGTGGAGCTTGTTTGTTGTATTCCTTGCCAGCCCGTGGAGGTGGAGCTTGTTTGTTGTATTCCGTGCCAGCCCGTGGAGGTGGAGCTTGTTTGTTGTATTCCTTGCCAGCCCGTGGAGGTGGAGCTTGTTTGTGGAGGCACCTAATGAAAGCCCTTTGGGGGTGGAGCTTGTTTGTTGTATTCCTTGCCAGCCCGTGGAGGTGGAGCTTGTTTGTTGTATTCCTTGCCAGCCTGTGGAGGTGGAGCTTGTTTGTTGTATTCCTTGCCAGCCCGTGGAGGTGGAGCTTGTTTGTTGTATTCCTTGCCAGCCCGTGGAGGTGGAGCTTGTTTGTTGTATTCCTTGCCAGCCCGTGGAGGTGGAGCTTGTTTGTTGTATTCCTTGCCAGCCCGTGGAGGTGGTGCTTGTTTGTTGTATTCCTTGCCAGCCCGTGGAGGTGGAGCTTGTTTGTTGTATTCCTTGCCAGCCCGTGGAGGTGGAGCTTGTTTGTTGTATTCCTTGCCAGCCCGTGGGGGTGGAGCTTGTTTGTTGTATTCCTTGCCAGCCCGTGGAGGTGGAGCTTGTTTGTTGTATTCCTTGCCAGCCCGTTGAGGTGGAGCTTGTTTGTTGTATTCCTTGCCAGCCCGTGGAGGTGGAGCTTGTTTGTTGTATTCCTTGCCAGCCCGTGGAGGTGGAGCTTGTTTGTTGTATTCCTTGCCAGCCCGTGGAGGTGGAGCTTTTTTGTTGTATTCCTTGCCAGCCCGTGGAGGTGGAGCTTGTTTGTTGTATTCCTTGCCAGCCCGTGGAGGTGGAGCTTGTTTGTTGTATTCCTTGCCAGCCCGTGGAGGTGGAGCTTGTTTGTTGTATTCCTTGCCAGCCCGTGGAGGTGGAGCTTGTTTGTTGTATTCCTTGCCAGCCCGTGGAGGTGGAGCTTGTTTGTTGTATTCCTTGCCAGCCCGTGGAGGTGGAGCTTGTTTGTTGTATTCCTTGCCAGCCCGTGGAGGTGGAGCTTGTTTGTTGTATTCCTTGCCAGCCCGTGGAGGTGGAGCTTGTTTGTTGTATTCCTTGCCAGCCCGTGGAGGTGGAGCTTGTTTGTTGTATTCCTTGCCAGCCCGTGGAGGTACAGCTTGTTTGTTGTATTCCTTGCCAGCCCGTTGAGGTGGAGCTTGTTTGTTGTATTCCTTGCAGGACCGTGGAGGTGGAGCTTGTTTGTTGTATTCCTTGCCAGCCCGTGGAGGTGGAGCTTGTTTGTTGTATTCCTTGCCAGCCCGTGGAGGTGGAGCTTGTTTGTTGTATTCCGTGCCAGCCCGTGGAGGTGGAGCTTGTTTGTTGTATTCCTTGCCAGCCCGTGGAGGTGGAGCTTGTTTGTTGTATTCCTTGCCAGCCCGTGGAGGTGGAGCTTGTTTGTTGTATTCCTTGCCAGCCCGTGGAGGTGGAGCAAAGTCAATCAGTAGGACCAAGCAGACGGGAAACATTGCATCCATAATCAAGGCATATTTTCAGAATGTGTGTCTTCAGAATGCATTAAAAACCTGTTGCATATACCACTGTTTAATATTTGTTTGTTTCTTGTTTCTTTGTTGTTTATTTAACGTCGCACTCAGCAATATTCAAGCTATATGACGATGGTCTGTAAACAATCAATTCTGGACCACAGAATCCAGTGACTGACATCATGAGCATCGATCTACGCAGTAAGAATACGATAACATGCATCAACCAAGTCGCTTCATATAACAAGTATAGTCGTGGCAAGAATGGGTTGCTGAAGACCTTTCTACCCCGGATCTTCAAGGATCCACTGCTTAACAATGTATGGTGGTATTACACACTGTGTTAGCATGATGTGTGGACAGGACTACTTATGGCAGTGTTCGAAATACCTGCCTGCCCGACCGTCCGAGACGGGTTGATTTCAACTCGGGCTGCCAGATTTTCAAATCCCCCTGCCCGACGGTCGGGTTTTATTTCATATGTAAAAATATTCTAAATATTTCCAGATGATAAGTATTATTTACATGATGTATTCTAGGATATTAAATACAAATCTAACCTAAAAAGTGTTTGCTATTTCTTTTCTTGCATTACGTCATGTTCAATGAATTCGATTTAAAGTTTTAATTAAATCATCCTGAGAAACATATGATTATAGTGGGCAGGCAGGTTTTGGTCAGGGCTGGCAAGTATTTCAGCTAGCCAGTCCTGTAGTCTGGCTGAAATATTTTGGAGTTTCATACCCTGCTTATGGTCATCATTTTCCACTTGTAGCAACTGTCAACTACATCTATTCTACCCTGAGATGGATCATCTACTCTCGAGAGACCTACAAATTGTCATGAAACACCAGAGATGAGTTGATGAGTGGCAGAATTTGTCAAATCCATGAGTTGTTGCAGTATTTAGCCTTTGACTTAGCACAGGACTATGTCTGAATAAGATAATAGGACAGAGAAAAAGATATGGATTTACTTTTGTGTTGCAAGCTTCATGGTATTTCAAAGGTTCAGTGAGTGAGTGAGTGAGTGAGTTGGGTTTAACGCCACTTTTAACAGTATTCTAGTTATATCGCAGCGTGTCAGCTTAATGTGGGAGGAAAGCCCGAAGTGATGCAGGTCTCAGACGTTTACCACTTCGGTGAAACCCACGAGCACGGGTATGGTGCTGACAAGCCTAGAAACATAATCGGGGCGAACCGGGATTCGAACCCACAATCATAGGTTTCTGGCGTGCCCAGGGGACGCAACTCTGCACAGCGAATCGCGGCGCCTTAGACGACTGGGCCACCCGTGCCCCCTTGATACAATGGAAACTGTACATATGTTGGCGTGTTAGTGCTTATCCGTTATCTATTTATGCATACAAAAGATGTATTAGTTACTGGCTGAATTCAATGCCTGACTCCCGTTATCCAAATGTTACAGGCATCTAATAAAGGCAAACACAATAGGGTTTCGAAATGTAAATATGTCCTGTTTAGCTTTGGTTTCGGATGTATATGAAACAGCGAATCGCGGCGCCTTAGACGACTGGGCCACCCGTGCCCCCTCAAAGGTTCAGAGCATCACTAATAAACAAAACAAGCCTCCCTTGGACCAAGTGGCGAGTCGTTTGTTTCGCTTGTTAGATACCATTTTTATCACAATGACAAATTTTAAAACGACAACTACATAAACATGATAAAGGTGGTCATGATGACATTAATATATGAATATTTATTATCATATATCATTGAGTGAGTGAGTGAGTGAGTATGGTTTAATGCTGCTTTTAGCAATATTCCAGCAATATCACGGCAGGGGACACCAGAAATGGGCTTCACAGATTGTACCCATGTCGGGAACCGAGGTCTTGGGCGTGATGAGCAAACGCTTTAACCACTAGCCTACCCGATGGGCCCTTCAGATATTATTGAAATGTATCTGTCACTGATCAAGTCTTTCCTCTACATTAAGGCCCCAAAGGCTACATGGCGGGTGTGAGTCATGTCCAAAGCATTTAAGGTGTGCTCATAGACAGAGTCTGGTCCAGACAGCTGTTGCCTCTGATGCCAACTGGAGTATGACAACCACAGAATGGTTGGCCTGATTGTGGAAATCATGCAATGAGCCATGAAGGCGGCTTCAAACTCATCATAATGCAACAGCTCAAATTAACACAAATCAGGTGACCCAGATGGAAACAGTGTCACCCAGGAATGGACGCATTGCAAGACCGAGTTTCTGTAGAGGGGCTCTGGCCATAATTTGTAATTGATCAAGGAAAGCAAATAAAGCACCTGTCGGTGGGGCTGTCAGTCATGATAATTTGATGGGAAGCATCTTCCTGGCCGGTCTGTCACTTCAGCAGGAAGACGGCATCTAGGGATGACTGTAATGATGCACTGGTCACTTACAAGAGAAAATCCATAAGACGGTCAATCACAAACCAATATTTACTGATAATTTGGCTCAATAGAACTCTAGTCTAAGTTTGTACAGTTTGCATCAAAACCTTTATGATGTGGCCAACTGAACCAAACAGCACAAAGAGGGAATCGGACTAGTTTCTCAGTAACATTTTGAAAAAATCAACTTATTACAATCAGATTGGTCACTCAGTGCTTTATTCTTCGTATTCCTTCTATACTATATCCTAACATACAATTAGAAATATTACTTGATCAGCTCTTTTGTTCTTTCTTTTAACACACTATTATTTGTTTGTTTACTTGTTTAACACTGCACACATCAATATTCCAGCTGTATGATGGCGGTCTGTAAGGAATCAAGTCTGGACCAGTCAATCCAGTGATTGATATCATGAGCAGCGATCTACGCATCTTGGATACATACATCAACCATGTCCACAGGTCTGACCACCCTATTGCTTTACTCGTCTTTTACAACAAGCATAGAAGCCTTTTAGCGTGGGTTTCTGAAAAACAATTCTCACCCGAATCTTCACAATTATAACACACTATTAACACTCTGTGGATACAATGTTTAACATCCGGTATCAAAAATATTCTTTTCAAAATTTTCCCAAGGCACCATACAAGGAGGGAGAAAGAAAATCATCAATTTAAGTGAAGTGTATGCAGATTCAATCAAGCAAGAATAGAGCTATGAGAAATATGTTTAATCCATGAGGGAAAGTGTGAAAGTATAGATTTGTTCAAGTCAGTCCCCCAAATCTTGTCATCAAATCACAGGATCATTGATCACTTGGACCACATCACAAGGCTTATGGGGGCAGATGTTGCCAAAGTGGGAGCAAAATCAAGCTTCAAGTCATCCACAGCAATTACAGAGTGCTTAATAGTTTCAACGAGTTCATGGAATGAATTTCTTGAAATCTTAATGATCTGAAATATTCCTTATGTTGCGCTATTGAGTCAGCCAATTTGTACATCTTTCATTCCACAAATTATCTTGATCTGGACCAACCTGTAGCCAATAGTTACATCAAGACATGCCCTCGTATGTCAGATTCCTGTAGCAAGCGTGATTGAAGGAAATCTGGTTGATGTTGTCTTGAACATGTCAAGACTTTGGCAACATCCAGGAGCACAGGTTTGGTGCTGACAAACCAAGGTTCACAATCAGAGATTCAAAACACAATCAATGGCACAACCATGTACACTAAACAGTCTGAAATGAGTATAACTATCAAATGTTTTTTTAGTTTTTGGAAGGGTGTTGGCATTCTGTACCTGGTCATGATACCCTCTCTGTGATGTCATAGAGAGGTACCTGCCCTTCCCTTAAACACAGGGCAGGTGATGGGATAGCCTAGTGGTTAAAGCATCCGCTTGATACGTCAAAGATCCGGGTTCGTTTCCCCATATGGGTACATTGTGTGAAGCTCATTTCTGGTGTTCCCCTCTGTGGTATTGCTGGAATATTGCTAAAAGCGGCGTAAAACCTTTCTTACTCACTCAATCATTCACTTAAACACATACATTTTGGGGCACCTGCTATCACATATGAAATATACAGGGGCACCTGCTATCCCATATAAAACATTCAGGGGCACCTGCTATCACATATGAAACATTCTTTGGCACCTATCACATATGAAATATACAGGGGCACCTGCTATCACATACGAAACATTCTTGGGCACCTATCACATATGAAACATTCAGGGGCATCTGCTATCACATATGAAACATACAGGGGCACCTGCAATCACATATGAAACATTCAGGGGCACCTGCTATCACATATGAAACATTCTTGGGCACCTATCACATATGAAACATTCTTGGGCACCTATCACATATGAAACATACAGGGGCACCCGATATCACATATGAAACATACAGGGGCATCTGATGTCACATAAGAAACATACAGGGGCACCTGATATTACATATGAAACATTCAGGGACACCTGCTATCACATATGAAACATTCAGGGGCACCTGCTATCTCATATGAAACATTCTTTGGCACCTATCACATATGAAACATTCAGGGGCACCTGCTATCACATATGAAACATTCTTGGGCACCTGCTATCACATATGACACATTCTAGGGCACCTATCACATATGAAACATTCTAGGGCACCTATCACATATGAAACATTCTAGGGCACCTGCTATCACATATGAAACATTTTTGAGCACCTGCTATCACATATGACACATTCTAGGGCACCTATCACATATGAAACATTCTTGGGCACCTGCTATCACATATGAAACATTCTAGGGCACCTATCACATATGAAACATTCTAGGGCACCTATCACATATTAAACATTCTTGGGCACCTGCTATCACATATGAAACTTGCATGGATATCTGCTATCACATATGAAACATGCAGGGACATCTGCTATCACATATGAAACATGCAGGGATATCTGCTATCACATATAAAACATTCAGGGGCACCTGCTATCCCATATGAAATATTCAGGGGCACCTGCTATCCCATATGAAACATTCAAGGGCACCTATCACATATGCAACATACAGGGGCACCTATTACATAT